TTAAAAATATGTTTTAATAATTCTAATATGACCTATGAACCTTGGATAACATCTCTATATAGTTTAATTGAAGTTCGGTGACTAAAAATGGTTTTCCCGAAAAATGAACCGAGGTTGAAGACGAATGAACAGTGGCTGAAAATCCACAGAGTGGACCGATCCCCTTCATTGGATCGATCCTCTAGGAGTTTTTCTTCTAGTTGGATCGATCTAGAGGGCTGGATCGATCCTCCGAAACTCTGGTCCGAAAATTTGTCTGAAATTGCTATTTTTGAGCTCTAAAATCCTATTTTTGCTACCAATTGATTATGATTATTATAAAAATGATTTTTCACAACAAAAATGATGTTTTTAACAAATTAAAACATTATGTGATGCATGGCGGTAAGTTCGGGTGTTAACACTCGAGACTAGGCCGCTAATTGTTATTAAATGTTATGTTGAATGATCATTATGATGAACTATTATTGTGGCCAATTATGAATGATTAACCTACTGATTAGTATAATTATTGATTAAATCATGATTAAAAATGGATATAATGATGATTATGAAAATGATGTATATTGTTAAGGATATCTAGAAGAACTCTAAGATATACCCACTTGTATAATGATGATGATTATTAAGGATATATAGAAGAACTCTAAGATATATACCTCCTTGACTAATTCATATTTCGGGGTTAAAACGTACGTACGGGATCCAGAACGGATATCACCCACCCGGCAGTTCACTGCTCGGTTGGTACGTAATCCACATGACTCATAGGGTGGATTGTCGATTCTTGTGTTCTGCATTAAACTATTTATAGTTTAAGGGCCTGGTTAGAAATGTTGCCTTAGACTAGGAATAATTAAGAGTTGTTATGAAATGATTTGGCCTTAGATTAAGAATAATTTGAGAGCATTGTTGAGATATTGAATATCAAATGACTTGGAATAAAATATTGAGAATATCATGAATGTTTGAATATTGTGTGCATGATATCAAATGGTTGATTATGAATCGAGATTCAATTTATGTGGATGTTCGACGCTTTAGATATGCTTACTCAGCTTCACCGCTGAGCGTGTAGTGTGTTTTATTTGCTACACGCAGGTAGGCAGAATGAATGATTGGCTGATTCCTGGCAGCAGAAGGGGCGAGACAGTCGTGGTAGATTATTGAATGAAATAAATAATTATGTTGTTATGAGACATATTTTATGTTGGAGTTGTGCCCTGATGGCCAACTGTTCATTGTTATCCTATCATGTATAGGCAGATATAATATGTTTACACATCTCATGCTAATGTAAACAAATATTATATTCCTAGATTTATATTTAAAAGATGTTTATCAGATAGTGTTATTCTGCTGATGAGACTAACATCTTGAAATAAATATTTATCTAAATGTCCATAGTCGAGTATTAACGAGAGTGGGATATCGTTAATGCATGTGAGACTAGTGTGTGTTGGATGTTTGACTTAGTCTCATAGT